GCTGTCATCAGATTTATCCACGCTGGACAGCTCTTTCAAAAAGATATCTTTTTGTTTCCTAAAATTGCCATCTCAATGTGAAAAGAAGGCCAGAGCAAAACTAAAACGTATTAGTGTGGGCATGGCCTTAAATTACATATGAAATCAAAACTATCCATATTATTTTGTTAGCTCACATAGAGCAATTCATCTGGCATGTCATTAAGAAAAAATGTGAATTTATTTTTCTTCGGCTAAGTCATTCCGTGAGGTCACCACAACGGAATGAACCGGCAACTATTCCAGCATATGTTTTACACAGTGGATGCCCTTCCTGCCACAACCCAGTATTGGAAAACACCCATAAACTCTCACATTCACATACACTACGACCATTGTAGTTCATTCAATTTACCTATAGCATATTTCTTGGGACTGGGGGAAATTGGAGCACCCGGAGGAAACCTACGCAAACATGGGGAGAACATGCAAACTCCACACAGAAAGACCAACTGGCCCAGCCTGGACTCAAACCAGTCAGCTTCTTGCTATGAGGCGACTATGCTAACAATTGAGCCACTGTGCCACCCCCCAAAAAAGGTTTGCTCTTGTAATCTCTAATTCAAATCTGCAAATGCACTTCCTGTTTGTTTTCAGTTAAATTCCCAAATTATGTCTGTCTGAAGTTTTGGGCCTGGTTAACATGCTTAACCACGCCCCTCCAACTGTCAGTTTTGACAGCACTATGACAACAAACAGAAAGGCTGAGGAGGAGGTGTCTGTTAGATTGTAATGACTCTCCTGAATCCCTTTTCCTGATCTTACTGAATAAAATGCCCACTTTACTACATCCAATCAGCTCGCAGTAGGAAAAACAAGCCACACCCACTGTTTTGCAATTTGCAATTTCTTGAGGAACTGCATCACAATACGTGGAAAAAATGGTTGCAGCTTCCGATAAATGCAGCCTCTAAAGTTTAAACTATTCAGCAACACTCAGTTAAAAAACTACTTTTCTTTTTTCAGTAATGCAAAACTTTTAGTTTAAACATAAAATAGGAAAAAGTGTGAATGTAGATATAAAGTTGATTAAAGCAGGTGTTTAAAACAGGGTTTTCACTAGCAACCACTTCATGCTGGTTGAAAACAGGCATGAGAACGTACTGCTGTGGCTCTCAGGATGACTGAACTCACTAGCGTCAGCAGTAGATCTGCTGAGCGCTTCATGTTCCTCTGACTCTGTGATGGACAGGTGTTTGTGTGAGTGGCTGTGATCTCCTGTCGTCCTGCTGGAGTCAGACTCCCTCAGCGATCTGTCATATGGAGTTCTGGGACATCAGAGAGCAGCTCCACAGGGCAAACACTTCAAAACTTAAAGCAAGGAGCAAAGCGATCAGAAAAGTTGCGAGCAATGAGTCACGACAGACTCTGTGTGCTGATGACCTTCCATCAGTCAGGTGTTCACAGAGAGAGCGTTTGATCTCAGCCTTCGGTTTTCTGCTCTAAACTGATGATCACCTGCACAGCTCATGGCCACAACGATGAGCGTCACTCAGCTACAGAAAGAGGGATGTCATCAGCAGCAGGACAAAGTTTGACTCCAGCAAGACTTCATATACTCTTTTTTTTTAGCAGCACTGAGTTATTTACAATACATCCTTTTAAAAGAGAGAAATGCAGGGGATTGCATAAAACTCTGTGTTATAAATAGTGTAAATGATGCTGTAAATGTAAATGCAAAAACTGAACACTCTACACGTATACTGTATACATAGACTCCAACAACGAATTTCAACTCTGGTTTTAAACTTTATATAGTGACTTCTGCCCAAATAAATGTTGACGATATACAGCCATATCGCACTGCTACGAGTGCAATATTTCATTTATACAAGTTTGACAACATAATCTTGTATAAAAAAATTTAAATGAAACATGGAGAGTTTTAAATATCCTTTTGTACAATGAACTACTTTCTTCTGCTATTCATGCAGCTGACGTCAGAACAGCAGAAACCATTGCTACTTCACAAATGTCACTTTAGAGCTAGTATTTGAATGATTCTCTAGCATAAAGTGATGACAAAACAGTTGATTTTGCTAAGGTTGAACAGCAGGAAGTGCAATCAGTCTACAGAGATTCCCCAGTATTTCTCTGTTGCAATCATCAGATTACAAAAATTAGCCCTGAAATAGCTAAAGTAAAACAAACACTACCAGATTACTATGGTCTAAACACAGCACTATAAAATACAAAAGAGAGAGAGACTTACTTAGAATGTCACTTACCTTTTCTATAATGATTTGTTCAGCTGTAGTTTTTCTTCCTAAGGACTTACTATGCAGTCGCCATCTTGTGGCGGAATGCCAACAGTCAATTTCTTTGGCCTGCTAATTCACGAAATTAAATATTTTCGCATGGCTATCATCCAATAAGATCTGAGAACCAAACAGAACTGTTGTGTGCGTGTATATATATGCTGTTAAAAAGTAGTATGTCAAGAAGTCTTGCTTTAGTAAAACTCTGTCCTGCTTGAAAATCATTTACTAATTTTCTTAAATTTGTAAATATGTAAAATTCATTATACATTTGTGTTGGAATTTTTATTTTTTGTTCGCATTTCTAGTTTGACAATTTGAGCTCTGCACTTGAAATGTGGACTGCCACAACTCATTTTTGCAGTTCTCACGACAACCCTTTCGTCTCTTCTTTAAATTGTGGAAGCCATACATGAATTTTGACCAGAAGAACAGGAGAAGCCAGGCTGTCCTGCTTTCTCCAGATCACAGGGCAACAACTCCCATCTCCAACCCTCCCTAAAATCCAGCAACACAGAAATGTGCAAAAACACAATCCGAACATATCAGCACTTCCCTGCGTTTACTGTTTGGCTTGTCCTCAGTAAAACATGGTGACAAAACGTCATGAAAAATGACAGAGGAAACAGGAAGCAGCCAAAGGGAAGTCAAAGCATCCTCCTCCCTTGGGCTTATTTCTCTTCCACAAACATAAAAATGACGCTAAAACAAGAGGAAATCTAAAATCTCATTTCTCTGGGTACTTAAAAATATTGGATGCAGTACACTGAACTTAGTGAACGTTGAAAGTGAATCAAAAGTTTAAAAGCCTGTGTAGCATGAGTCTGTGATGAAATATCCTATTGTGTACATGGTGCAAAAGGTCATTTACAGACACGCACCAAAACTAATGCATCGTCTCAAACTACCTATAGTGATTTTTTAAAAATATATTTTAAAGAAGATATATATCCATACACATATACACTGCAATAACTATTTTCCAAGGGTTTATAAAGAGCAAGGATATTTTTACAGTATTTCATATGTATTTTTTTTTGTTGTTGTCTGGAAACTCAACAGAACAAACCACTGTTGTTCAATGGCTTGCCAAATTATCCTAACCTGCCTAGTTATCCGAATTAACTTAGTTAAGCCCTTAAACTGCACATTAAGCCAAATATTATTATCTTGCAAATAGTAAAATATTATGTACTATTATGACAAAAATAAATTAGCTATTAAAAACTGGTTATTAAAACTATTATGGCAACAAAAATGTGTTAAACAAAACCTTCTCTCTGTTAAACAGCACTTGGGAAATATTAGAAAAAAGATTTTAAGTTTCACAGGAGGGCTAACGATTTCGACTAAAAACAGTACAAATAAACTCACTGGCCACTTTATTAGGTACACCCCACTAGTGCCAGGTTGGACCCGCTTTTGCTTTCAGAGCAGCCTTAATCTATCGTGGCATAGATTAACAAGGTCCTGCAAATATTTCTCAGAGATTTTGGTCCATATTGACAAGATAGCATCACACAGCTGTTGCAGATTTGTTGGCTGCACATCCATGATGTGAATCTCCTGTTCCACCCCATCACAAAAAAGCTGTATTGGATTGAGCTCTGGTGACTGTGGAGGCCATTTGAGTATAGTGAACTCATTGTCATGTTCAAGAAATGATTCCCACTTTATGACATGGTACATTATCCTGCTGGAAGTAGCCATCAGAAAATGAGACACTGTGATCATAAAAGGTTGGACATGGTCAGCAAGAATATTCAGGTAGGCTGTGGCATTGACACGATGCTCAATTGGTACTAATGGGCCCAAAGTGTGCCAAGAAAATATATCCCTCACACCATTACAACACCACCACCAGCCTAAACAGTTGATACAAGGCAGGATGGATCCATGCTTTCATGCCGTTGATGCCAAATTCTGCCTCTATCATTCAAATGTTGCAGCGAAAATTGAGACTCAGACCAGGCATCTTCTATTGTCCAATTTTGGTGAGCCTATGCCAATTGTAGCCTCAGTTTCCTGCTCTTAGCTGAGAGGAGTGGCTCGGGGTGTAGTCTAATGCTGCTGTAGCCCATCCACCTCAAGATTCGACATGTTGTGTGTTCAGAGATGCTCTTCTTCATACTTTGGTTGTAACGAGTGGTAATTTAAGTTACTGTTGCCTTTCTATAAGCTCAAACCAGTCTGGCCATTCTCCTCTGACATTAACAAGGCATTTGTGCCCACAGAACTGCCACTCACTGGTAATTTTGTCTTTTTTAGACCATTCTCTGTAAACCCTAGAGATAGTTGTGTGTGATTCTTCCCCACTCTGATGCTTAATTTAAACTGCAGCAGATTGTCTTGACCATGTCCACATTTCTAAATGCATTGAGTGCATTAGAAATTACAAATTTGCGTTAACAAGCAGTTGGACAGGTGTACCTAATAAAGTGACCAGTTAATCTTTTATGAACTTAATTTATATATTGTATGTAAAAAACAAGTGACCATTCTAAATTTTAAAAATGCTATACTTAAAATGACAACTACTTTGTATTTTTTGTGCTGCAAAATGATTCTTAAATAGAGTATTTTAATACATCTTGAAACGATTCTTTTAAATATATCAGATCAGGATCAGAACCTATAACAGTATTTGGTTAAATAAGCTATATTTTTGAATGTAAGTAGATGTGCACCTGTACAGCATTTTACCTGTGTTTGCATCATGGCACGTTCAACTCTCCGTGAGCTTCCTCTCTCCAGCTTAGTCCTCAGACACAGAGATGTCACTTCCACAGCCCAGAACTTTGGCTGAGACAGCAAACACTGAAGAAGGGAAAAGGAGAGAGAGAGAGAGAGAGAGAGAGAGACTTGAATGTCCTGATTTCATGAATATGAAATCATACTGCATGAGCAACTACTGTACATCACAAACCAAGAGGAAAAATTCACTCACATTTTCAACCCCAGACACGAATCTTACAAAATTTTCCATCACATGCATTCATGACAAAAACATAAGATCCCCCGACATATGAGCGTTCACTGGCCTGTATCACATCAGCAGATCGACAGATACAGCAAGCGATGGTTAGAGGACTAGGATGAAAATATCTTCAGACACGCGTTACTGGAAAAGCAACTAGAGCAAGACCGACATGTCAATTCAATAATGAATTGAAATATATGAGGTGTCTGGGATGCACTTTCAAACTGTACAAGGCGTTCTAGAATTAAGATAAATGCATCTGAACTGAGGAAAAGGATCTTGGTGATCAATGCTAAGATATGTGTTAATGCTAACCTTCATGTTATTTGTTAAATGACAGCCCTGGAACAAATGGTCACCTGAATATATGTGTAAATTGATAACATGGGCTAAAAAAACATACCATACATCAATTTATATTAATAAAACCCATTGGTATGGGTTAAATCGATAAGAGACACAAAAATATGTTTTTAAAGGGATAGTTCATCCCTAAAATTAACATTTCCTCACTATTTACTCACACTCAATTGGTTCCATCTTCTGTTGAACACAAAAAAAGCAAGCATTAAGATTTATGACATGAACAAAAAATACAATGCAAGTTCAACAGAAAAAAGAAACTAAAACAGGTTTGGAACAAGCAGAGGAAGAGTAAATGATGACAATTGTCATTTTTGGGTGAACTATCCCTTTAATGCCAGGTTTAGATGTTGTTAAAATATCATTTAATCTAGGGGTTCATGATGATATAAATGGCAAAGGGCATCAGTACACAGTATTAGATCATTTATCTGGAAAAGTGGAATACCCAATGCCATGAATACCACCTGACATAATCCACCACAATGCTACATATTTACTTTTAATGTCCTTTACAATGGGTTTCATCACATTGATGATGCTGACCAGAAGTACAGAAGCTTTTCTGTACACCTCTTTCAAACAAAGTCAAAATAGATGAAAGACAAGTTGAGGTAATGGCTCAAAGTTCATGTTTGTCTCTTAAGGTAAGACCACACTATTCAGAATAGCAAGACTATTCAGGCCTTTTTTATTGAAGACAGATACCAATTCCTCCTCCTTGATGACATTATGCACATTCTTAAAGATGACAACTTTTTTTTTTGTCTGTTGCAAGGGTAACCAAATGTTTCTCCACACACAGGTGAACACTTCCATTAAAAATCAGACTGTCGAAAGTGTGCAATCCTACAAATACCTTGGCACAATTATTGACTTTAAACTCTCCTTTGATGAGAATTGTGAAGCAGTGTGTAAAATGAGGCACCATCAACTATTTTGTTTGACAAACTTAAACCGTTTCCATATTGATAAACGCATGATGATTTTTTTTACCCTGCTTTTCTTCGTTGTATCTTTTTCTTTGGTGCCATGGTTTGGGAATCTTTCTATTAAGAATAAAAACACACTAAATCAAATTGTTAAGTGGTCCAAAAAGCTGACTGGGGTGTCACTAGCCAATCTGAAGGCTGTGTACACCAGGCAGCTAAAGAGAAATGAAATTTTAAGCGACCCTGCTTATCCCTTACACTCAAGAGTTTCAGCTCCTTCCTTCCAGTCACAGGTTTTTAGTAAGGCTGTAGAATAAAACTATACAAAAATAGTTTCATACCAGGAGCTATTAGACATTTAAATAAGGCATAGACTAAAGCAGAGGTCTTTCTGTGACTCGTATATTTCCAATTTTTTTTGATTGTTTTAAACATTTATTGGGGGTTTTTATACCGTCAGAATCTTATACCGGCCCATGCAAACTTAACGCCTTTTATTACGAGTGTAATGTAGCTGTTGAAGAATGCAGAAGGTCTGTGTACTACAGTATGTACGTTTTTCAACATTAAAATAATGTCTCTAAAATTATACACTGTAAATTTTGTCATGTCTCAACTCAAATCAATTAAGCTAACTTAATTGTTTACAAAATTAAGTGGATTGAACATAAAACAATAAAGTTATCCCATAAAAACCCTCAAGAATTGTGTTGATTCAGCTTATATATAGAAGTAGTTTGAACAAGCAGCAATAATAATAATAACTTTTAACTAAATGGGTTTTGCTGTTCTGGCTTCCAAGTCTTAGAGTGGTTTCGATTTCAATACTAGTATTGAAAATTCCACAAATACAGCAAAAAATAAATAAATAAATAAAAAAGTTATGCCCAATAGTTTTGCTTAAATGCTACATGTGCTGCTCATACTGTACCAGCAACATGGGCTGGGTTGACCAAGCTGAATTTGAGACAATTCACTGAATGTCATTTTTCATGTTTCATTAGTTTGAGTGAGCAAATTATTCACTGTAAAAAAAAAAAAATAAGAAGTTGACAACTTTACAAAAAAAATGTTAATACTCATGCTTAACCATATTCAGTACATTTTATGTTAAGTATTCCTTATCGGATAAAAAGTTTAACACAATTTTTATGCAGATTTTAAAAAAGTATCCACAACTTGGTATTTCTATTAAGCAATTTCCTGCAATATTTCTAAAAAATGCACAACAATGGAAACAGCTAGTGAGTGCAGAGGTATTACGAGACTGCAGCAGAGATCAGATCATGGAATCACAGTGCCAATAATGAGAGAAAAACAACAGTGAGTCTACAGTAACTCAATAACAGACACTGAATTGCTGTCAAATAGTCAACTGCTGTCAGAACTGTGAACAGTTTCAATGTGCTCCGTTTCTGTACAAAACTAGAGACATATAGAAGAAGAAGAGAAATGAGGCCCTCTTGGTCAGCATGACATGAGTATGAGAAATGATGTATCTGTATTCAATGAACAAAAGGTCAGTTCCTGCATTGGTGTCTCTGTATGTACACACGAGTCTTGTGATTTTAAGTGTCATGTCCGGCCTTCTACTTTTAAAGCGTTTATTACAGGAACGGTTAACACTAGTTTGGTCCCCTAACCTACAAAGGGGAAGAAAAGAGAATGAAAAAAGCACTGGAGGGCTTACATGTGATTTATGAGGACTTCAAGCCTGACTCATCAAACTCTTGCTCTTAAACCCGACATCCACTTCAAAGCTTTCCCATCTCCCTTTTTAACTTCAAAGATCAGATATGCTGTAAAACGCTGCTCACCCTCATCCTCCCTGTTTTTACAGACATTAAATATTTGTAAGACACTGAATTTTTATTAGATTTTGAAAACCACATCAACTGAAACTCTTTTAAATGTTTTTATAAGGAAGTATTAAAATAGGTCTGTTGGGAAATAAAGTCAATTGAACATGAACAGAATATCAAAAATAAAAAGTTAAAATGAAACAAATTATGTATTACTAAAGTGGTTTTAGATGTCAAACCATAAAATGTAGAAAACTACTTGTAATAAATAAATTTTTGCACATTAAAATGTTAATAACATTGAATTAAAGCACCCCCAATCAAAATACTTAGTCTTGTTGTACTTTTTTTTTTTCGCTTCAAACTACTGGATTTTGCCAATTTTAATAAACTCGAAATATAACAGATATCACAAACTCTCTATGACCATAAATATGTTGCTTTTTTACATGAGTATATTGTTAATGCTGAATATAATGGAGAATTATTTCGCCAATAGTTTTATACTCTTGTATACCACTTCAATATCCCTCTGCTGCTGTGCTTGTGATCGCAGCTTTTGAACGCTGGCTGGTGCTTTAACCATAGATTTTCAGCTTTGACTTTTCCCAATACTACAGTAAAGGACTGTATGTGTACCTTATGTGATGTGTTCAATTAAAATATAATTTTGTTTGGTTGTTCTGGTTTTCTTAGTAATAAACATGCGTTATAATGTATGTTTATACTGTATGGTGAAAAGTATAGCCGTAGGCTGCAAAAGCAAATGTAAGAATTAAGTTCTTTAGGCTTTATAGTGGAAATTAAATTGCGTAGGGGTGAAAAGAATGTTCGATTTTTAAATCCTTTTGCTTTATTTAGAATATGAAAAAATCTCAAAATGAATTAATAAATTAAACACATTGTAATGGCATTCATTAAAACAACACAGGGCAAGACGTGTTTAATAAAAGCTAATCTAATGTCTCTCATTCTGAACGAATAAATGTTTGTTACAGAAAAACGAAAAGGGCTTTGTTTTTCACTTAGCATGCATCCGTTTTCAAAGTCTGTCTAATTCGCTGCAGGCTAATATAATATGCACACAAGATTGACATTTAATACTGTAAGAACTACATTTGACCATACTTTGTTATTATCTCAACCTTTAAACATGCGCACACTACAAGATACGAAAACCTTGGCACAGTACACACTACAAGATATTAATAAGATTATCGTGCACAATGGAGAATATCACCGGATTGTCAGTATAACTTTCTTTATCAATCATTATTATAGGCTAGGTTACAAATATTTGACCAACTGTCATTGCAAAAACACCCTCGTGCACTCAAAATAGGTTCCCTTTTGCATAGCTATTAGTGGTTGTTATGAAATTAAATAAATTGCCATATCCGCAAACAAAGTGAGCTGCCTATTATTTATCGTCTGGTCATTTTTCATTTTCATTATTTACTTGAAACATTAAACTAGAAATGTTATTTGCATGTACTATTACTCTCCATTGTATTATCACTTCTGTTCATTTAAGAGGATGGAGAAACAGTGTATTTACTCGGATATATTTAATACTGATTTTCAAAGATGTACAATAAATAAATACATATTATAATAGAGCATGGAATAAAATAAACAACTACTTAGAAAAGCAGAAAAAGCAGGAGAGCTGACTTCAACAATAACAACCTCAATGAATCAAGCAGTCTGACATTTAAATGTGCTGCCAACGTTGATGAA